CTTCCTGCGGAAGTGCCAGTCTATATTCCATATTCTCAATGAGCGGAATCGAGTCCCTAATTAAACTTCTTTCAGATCCGGAGCTTTTAATAAGAGACGGGAACGTGTTTCTCGATTAATTACTTTCATTAGCTTTCATTCGCAGCTTCGTTCACCAGCTCGTCGTCGTCATCGTCGGTTGAAACGACATTATTCCTGCTCGCACAGTCCTCTCACTGTCTCCAGTCTCCGTTTCATGAAACCACCGTCCTTGAGAACAGATCCTAATCTCTAACCTTCGGATGTGCCTGTATCCGGAAAGAAAATTTTTTTCCATCTCCGCCGATCGATTGCTCCGACCTTCGATTTCTTCTCAAATCGTCGAAGAAAGCGATTGCTCTTTTCCTTGGAGAATCTCGCGTGCACGCGCACTCTCGTCATTTTCATGCATTCCTACGTAATACCTTGTATAATTGCACGTGTTACGCAACGAAAGGATCGCCGACAGAGAAAAGGAAGAAACAATTGATAAATACGATTCGCGCGAGGACATTACGCGATTTCTGTTACTTCGTAGTGACGCTTTCCTCGTTATCGCCTAGTCGTTAACGCTTGCAATTCACTCGCACGTCGCCATTAGCCTCGATGGCTGATTTTTACTCTCGCTGATTCTTTAAGGATCATCACTATCGAGAAGAAACGGAAATAACGTAAGCTTAGATTCGTCAGACATTTTCAGATCTGATTGGAATCTCGCAACGAACCTTGAGGTTCAGTCCGAACGATTTTTAATTTCCCTTGGCTGGACAGGTTCGCGAGACCTGACGCGTATCCGATCGATTGTTGGGCCTAACGATTAAGCAAATCTATGAACGCGGCAACAACGTGGTTATCCTTCGCGATTAATGGCCCCTGCCGCTGGTCCAGCAAACGTACGGGTCGAAGGAATCTTGAGGACTTCTAGAATCGATTCTAGCTTATAATCAGCCTGGCGTCCCTCTTCTCAATGGCGTTTCACGCACGCACGAGACACGTGCGCCGAGTCAATGACAAGTAGTGAAAGAAAGGTATCGACAAGGCGGCGTTTCGAATTCTTCACACTGGAATTGATCAAAATGGAATGGCCAATTTAACAAGTTTTGTTGATAATTTGTACAAAAATTATATGTTTAGAGATTCGTAAAACGTATAAACGAAAGCTTGCGTACTCTGTTTAATATTGTGAAATTTTTCCGTTTCCGTTGCTTTGATATCTTTGATGGAAATTTCATCCTCTAGTCGTCGATAGTTCTAACGTTTCCTATATCTCGCGATTATCACCCAGTATTCCACTGGGTAAATCGGATCGGCTTGAAGAAATATTGCGAGAAAAAGTAATTTGAAGAGGGAAGAAAAGGAAACGTCGAGAAAAGATCGAAGAATTTCGATAGAGTTATCGAAACCTTGAACGATCGGCTTGACTAATCGTTGAAAAAAAATCGCTCGATTTGTTGAAAGATCTCGTGGAAAACGGTACTGAGCATTGGATGCGCGCAGAGCGAGAGAGAGAGGAAGAAGCGAGTCAGAGTTGGAGTCACGCAATTAGTTTTCATTGCGACAAAGCCGAGTATATATCAGTGCGAAAGGCATTGAAGGGGGCCTTGCCACGGCCTGCACTTCCGCGTATCAGCCTGCTATCTTGTCTCGTGGCATATCTACGCGCATGACAAACAACGGAACGTTGCTCGTTCTCTCGTAGACACGCTCGCGGCAACTGTCATTGATACAATTATTCCCTGGAAAATGGAAAAGTCCGCGTGAGCACGTACTTTCTTTTCGTCTTCCAAATCTGAAGCAATCTTCGTCGTCGTCGTCCATCCGTTCATCCATGATGTCTCGTTTATTAACCTTCGCGGTCGAGATTCAACAAATCAGAGAGAGAAAGATATTCGAATAAATATTCGAACGTGTCGATGCTTTACCCTCTCGTGTCGCGAAAAACGTACAATCAGAGCGTGTACAAATTATTCATGTATCGTTTTGATGCAGTGCGTGCAAAAAAAAATAACGCGCCGCCTTTTCCCAGGCCGAAACGATCGATCAACGACGAAACGAGCACCAGGCAGCGACGTTCCTCTTCATCGCAAGTACGGACACGTACGATCTGGAATAGGCGGATCGAGATGCGCGTTACGTCCGTGCACTTATTTTCGATGGAGACGAGAAAGAGAGAGAGAGAGAGAGAGAGA